TTTCTTTTCAGATTAAGCTTCATCCCTTTTACTAGAGATGAAAATATAAACGAATTTGACGAAATCTTTTAACATAGAAATGAGATTCATTCTTTTTAAGCTTATGTACATGAAGAAACAAATAAAATCATACTTTACAAAAAGAGGAATATTGAAAACGATTTCCATTGAATCTGTAGGATTAGTGTGTGGGGGGCAAAAAACTCTCTCCTCCCCTTTCATTTTGAAAAATGGGGATGAGAAGAGGATTTAATTTCGCTTTGCATAATCATTTTTGGATAATCTTAAACAAGCCATGTGATATACAAACGGATTCAGCAAGATGGATAAGAAGATAAATCATCGCGATGGAATGGATTTGCTTCCGTTTAATTTCTGGAAAATAAAATAATGTTATTTTCAAGAAGATGCAATTGATTTTATTTTCGATGTGAGAAGATAAGTCATATTTTCTAGTGGCGTATATAATGGGCTCATACGTTGAGGGGGCGCTGGTATTATGGAGAGGGGGTGTCACCGGTCTTAGTGGATGAACAAAATGCAAATTAATGATGCCAACTATTAGTAGGGTCTTGGCGTGTGTCCCGGGGAGTGTGTAAGGGCTTCAATCATTTTATTTTCTCGTTAATTTTCTCACTCTGATTAATTCTGTCCCGTTCCCTGCCTCCTCCCCGGCCTCTCCCTCTATCTCTTCTTTTTTCTTTCTATTATCTTTCTTCCATCCATCCTTCCTTCCTTAATTTCTTCCTTCCTTCCCTCTTTTCTTTCTTTAATTAAAAAAAGAATTAATCTATTTTTGTGGTCATTTGATGTGGCACTCGCCCACGTGCCGCTGTAGCCGTGCACTTGCTTCGTTCTGTAAACCAATAGTTAGATGCATGACGAATGTCGGGTGTTATTGATTTATCAACCACTATCCTGACGTTAACCAATCCGATCAATTCGACAGATTTTATCAATGGAAAAGGGTAACTGTGTGCCAATGTCCTTACATAATTATAGAAGAGGATTAAATTAGTTATATTTAGAAAGGGATGTGGGGCGACCAGGGGAATAATTTTCGCTCAAATTTTGCCGCAATTCATCCGTGAATTTAAGAATTTGTTGGAATACTGCTATAGAGAATTCGTACGTGGCTACATTTCGTAATTCAATCCACCAGAATTTTAAACACAGACAATAACAGAAAATATATTTCTTAATCTAAATATAAAAGGTAACACCTGAAAATATTCGAAGACGTTTTAACAAAAAATAGATTTCACCTCATAGCAAAATAAAATTTCTTTTCGGTGGTTGTTTGCTTTTTTTTATATAAAAAACGTAACTCATATGCAACACACAAATGCAAGTCATTGTCTATGCTAAATATAAAGAAACTAGGTTTTTTTATAGAGATTTTTGATTTCGGGACGAAATGAACAAGAGAGTTATATAGGAAATAAACTCACAGAGATACTGCATGAATGGCCATCAGAAACGACCCTCCCCCCTTTCAGGAACTGGACTCAAATTTGAGGTATAATTTCCTCTCGACCACCAACCAATTCAACATCTCCGGTATCATTGCCTAGGCCGCACGAACTTACCAACTTCGATTCTTATCACAAACTGAAAAGGTTCTCAAGTATAGCAGCTTTCAATCAACTCCAGATTCACATACTGATCAAGCTTTAAAGTGAACCGGTAACATTGTTGATGGTCGGTGAAAAAACTGCGTAAATGTTGTATGAAATGTTACCTATTCATATTCCTTCTATTGTACTAACCCTCTAACAAGCAAATAATCCTGAACAAATTCTCAAACCACAAAGATATTTATGGTTTTCTTTGAAGGCGTCACTGTGCAACACCCTCTGACAGTAAATTCTCCAAACCAATGTTTGAATTTCACAACCGTTTGTACATGAAAACAAGACCTAAAACAGGCTTTACATTTTTTTCTTCAACACTTCTGATTGGCATGGTATATATTATCTAAAGCCGATTCATTGCTATGTGACGATTTAAATTTACCTAAAATTAAATTAAGTTATAACAATATAGTTTCGAGAATTAAGGAATCGATCAGATCAGTTTTCCCCGATTTGTAAATAATGGTTTGTTTTCACTCAAACTTCAGATTACCTTTAAAGGTAAAGACCAGTATTGGAAACGCCCCAATTTCAAAAAATGAAATGGAAGCTCTCATTACCAATCATGTGAAAGAATATGTTTTGACTAATACATGACGATAAAAAATTTGCCGGGAAACCGCCTACTAATTCATATATTTGGTAAATTTGTTTCTCTCATGGTCCATGAGAGATATAGGGTAGTCCCATATACATCTTTCTGTGTATAGTGCTTGTAACTTTACGAAGAATGGGCCAAATTTCTTATCATTTTGATGATTCCAGAACCTTGCAGATGCTAAATGCCAGATGAACAACCTTTTCTGATCGATTCCACAACGTTTCGTTCACAATGCAATCGCATGACCATAACTGGTCTTTACCTTTAATTGTACATCGAAAATTGACGTCACTACCTTAGCCCCATTTTCTCTCATCTGAACAATGTTACTAGACCCTTTGATACGCCAAAATCTCCTTGAAAACACTCTAAATACACTGCTCATTTCAACAAGGCTATGGAGGGGGAGGGGAGGGAAGGGAAGGCTTTGATAGGGGATAACGACACACACACTCCCATTACATGTTAATTATTCTGTAGGGAAATGACAAGGGGGTACTACCTTGGATATTTGAATCCGATTGTCCTTTGAGAGTCATCCCAGACAATTACCACCACCCCCCACCGCAACAACTAAAATAATTAACCTTCTTTCGTTTTGTTTTCCTCTCCAAAAGTTTATCCAACGCCTTGCCTCTCCTCCCCAACTCGTTTAAAGCCTGTTTGCACTAGTTTGGCCAGGATGGATTAGCTGGTCACCATATTGCTGGTCACTAGCAGGTTGTTATCTCATTAAATCAGCACTAAATTAAAATATTAAAGGGTAGGCTACCATGGGGAATCAACGGTCACCATTTAGGCATTGTTGGCTATATGAAGGGCGCAAGTCGCTACAAGTAGTGCAGACAGGCTTAAAAACGTCATATCGATCTACACTCATGCCTGTCACCGCAGTTCATCACTTGTAAAACATAAAGATAACAATTAGTTACCATAAACAGTTGACTTATAAATAGATTTTATTCGACTGCTCATGTGTGAATACTGGCATATGGTTTACAAGTCAAAACATGATTTTTATGTATCAGATAAAACACAAACTTTATGATTTCCTGTTTAAAACCTTCGCGACCATGGTGATATTGCTTGTACTGCGCATTGTTTGAATAAACACCATAGTTACACATGTATGATGATGAAGTTTTTTTTTTTAAAATATTCAGCCGCCCCCACCAATTTACTTTCAATCACCGCATTTAGTAAAACCTTTGTTCAAATTTAAAAAATGAGTTAATCTTATTATGCGCACATGGCTGTTCTACGGTGTTTTGCCATGATGTAATTCGTCATTTATAACATGAGCTATTTCTAAATTGGTCTAGTGTTATGATGCCCTAATGCCCCTATATTCTAACTACAATGCATTAGAAACTGCACATTTAGGAGTTTATTGATAAGAAAGGGATAGGCTGATTTCGGTCTGAACACGTGATACTATAGCTCACAGCCAATCAGTGACAGAATATACACGAGCTCTTGTACATTCATGCAGGAGCATGAAAAGTTCAATTTTATGAAACGCGAATTCTGAATGGTTCAACTTAAAAGTGCAGTACTATTAGAATTAACATTCATCACATGCATTTTTGACACGATATATATGTCTTTTCATCAACAATCGCCTGAATATTCTTGACTTTAATCCTGCGTTATTTTAGATATGGTTAAGGTGATTTCTTTTATCGTAATATTAAAGCACCACGATTTCAAAAGCAAATATCATTCTCTGCGTATGCTATTCATAACAATGTTGCAGGATTATTGAAGGATAAGAAAATCAAATGACTACACAAGAAAATAGTGAAATCACATTGTCCCGTTTCATCGTGCCCACGAACACACCATAAACACACGAGCACATCATTTTATCTGCTGGCAGGCGCGTAGCCAGGGGGGGGGGGGGCGGTGGGGGCGGTCGCCTCCCCAAAATGCCGGCCAAAAAAAAAGGAAGAGAGAGAAAGAGGAGAAAAAAAAAGGACGTAGGAAGAAAAAAGGAAAAGGAGTCGAGAACAGTACAACGAATCATCAAAGCTTCCGCGCTTCGCGCGGGAAGGGGGAACTGAGTTCAAATTTAGGATTAAGGGTCGGGATAGTTACGACGAATCGTCTTCTTTCTCTTATAATTTAATGAAACGTCAAAACTTCGCACGAGAGGGGGGGGGGGAACAGAATTCAGACAATGATTAAGAGTCGAGAAAGTTACAACGAATCGTCTTCTTTCTCTTATAATTTAATAAAACATCAAAGCTTCGCGTGAGAGGGGGGAGGGACTGAATTCAGACAAGAATTATGAGTCGAGAAAGGTACAACGAATCGTCTTCTTTCAAAGCTTCCGCGCTTTGCGCGGGAGGGGGACTGAATACAGATAAGGATTAAGAGTCGGGAAATTAGGTACAACGAATCGTCCATCTTCTCTAATATTTTAATGAAACGTCAAAGCTTCGCGTGAAAGGGGGGAGGGACTGAATTCAGACAAGGATTATGAGTCGAGAAAGGTACAAAAAATCGTCTTCTTTCAAAGGAAACTCCCCCCTCCCTGCACCCACCCCCCTAGGGAGCGCGCTTCGCGCGCTCTGTAAGTGATTCGCACGCTTTGCGTGCTCATTACCGCCCCCCTAAAATTAAGTCCTGGCTACGCGCTTGTCTGCTGGGTGCAAACCAAACATTTGATGACAAGAATTGAAGCGTCTCCAAGGAATCCTGAAATAATCTGAATAATCTCAGTAAGTGTCTTTTGATAAGAAACTAGAAATAATAAAATTATATCGCGAAAACCTATTGGTCCGCTTTTCTACGTCTATAACAGAACAACGAAGATTTGACACAAGTCATCATAAAGTGTTGACGTACGTGGTCCTGTAATGAGCTTAAATGACTGTATCCAGGACAAGTAGACAGTATCCTGGCTGTCAAATACCATGATATATCAGGTAATCCTCAAGAAACATGAGAAGCTAAACGAACAGAATGCTTGCTATTGTCATTAGTGTTGTAATAATTGCCATGAGGTCGTCGGACAATCATACACCGATTCCTCGAGCAGCCATAACAGCGGACGTTCCCCTAAAACACCCCTTGAGTCGTCCTTGCAGATCACACACGCAGATTAGACTCGCAGAAGCGAAACACATACGAGATCTACCTGCAGAATAAAACAACAACAGTGGGAATGAATAAAAGATCAAGTTGAGTTCATAGCATTGTGAAAGAATCCTGTCTGGAACGGAAACCCTTGGGAAAGGTAGATTCTGCAGTACATAGGCCTAATAAACGGCATACACTATAAGGATTTTGGATCACGACAAGAAGTTGATTTAATCTCACTGCATAGAGATATGGGAAGATATTATGGGACTACGCACACATGTGCCATAAATGTTTCTTCCAACATTGTTAGCTATGCATGCATTTCTCTCATTTGTTAAACAGGAGGGCGTGAGAGTAATCCTTTCCAGGGGAGACTCCGACTATGGTATTCCTCCAAACTGATACACAAATTGAGAAAGCTCATAAATTAGTTGTAATCTTTACCAAAACTTACTCTTATCTTTAATTGACAGTGGAAACATTTGGCAAGTGTAGTTTTACCCTTTTTCTTGATTTTCTTACATCTTAACAAGTATGAAATATAATCTGCAATGTTTGAAATTTTCTTGAGCAAAGTTGATCAAAGGTCATGCATGATTACTGATTCTGAACTGATATGCCTTTAACGAAGGACATTCAATTGTCCTCTAAAACCGTCACTGTGACCGTCGAATTTGTCCCGTATTCATTACCTTGTAATAAAGAATTTCTTCTGTCGGATCGGTATCCCCTGGTTTCTACTTCAAACTGTGTTGTGTCAGGCTCGTTCAGTGATAGTGCATCGAGCTGATATAGAGGGGAGGCTGATACATGTGGCAGTGTAATCGTTAATGACATAATACATAGAACGAGAACGAAGAGAGGTCGTGACATTGTGACGTCAGAGGTGGGACCTGTGAAAGGATGAGAGAGAAAAAAGGCATCAATTACCTGGAGTATAGATTGTTTCAACTTTTTCAAAGATTTTTCTCTCTATCATTTCTTTCGATTTATTTTGAGGAAGTAGGTGTATGGGCCTATATAGGGGGCAGTGACGAATTAAAATGCAAAAAAAGAGAGACAAATTATTTAGTGGGTATCAACGTGAAAATGATTAGAGCAATGCATACATGTACAATTAACAACTAAATTAACCAAATCCTTACCGAGTTATTAAATTTGTTTAAGTATGTGAAAAATGGATTTGTACCGATTTTCTATTTCTTAATAACGTGACATTTGAAATATTATTTAACAAAGGTCTTGATTCAACCAGCCTACCTTTTATTCTTGAGCTACGAAAAAATACAAAAACACATCAAATTTACAAGGTGTATGAATAACTTAATCGTTAACTATACATTATCCAAATCCCGAGCTGTGAATATAAGATAAGATTACCTCCACATTATTGAGCCTGTACTTATTTTTTTCATTTATTTATCATTATAATTTATGGATCATAATCGCATATTTAAAGATTTGCTGGTGATAAAATTACTTGTGGTCTAATCCTATTGGCAAAGGTATATTCGATGGACTGTCGTAGAGGGCGCCTCATTCTGAGAAAGAAATTATTTTGATATATAAATGTATGGAAACGTTTACTGTGTCCCCAACCCTCCTCGACTGGGGGGGGGGGGGGGGGGGGGTGCACTGGTCTCTACATGGAACATAATTGAGAAAACTGAGTGACCGACTTAAGGAGGGTCTGAAAGTATTTCTAATTCCAAGGTTAGGGGGACGTCTCTTTTCCGACGTATTCTTGTTCAAAATCTTAGTTATACATTGAAAACTTGGATACTAACTTCTTGTTTCTAAATTTACGTTATACAGAATTTTACATTGATATAGAATCGTCAATAAATCTTTATCGAACTTCTGTCATTTCTATGTGTCATGTATTTGTACGTTTGTTTTTTAGTCTAGTAAAAAAAAATGGAATCGCCCTGCTAATTTATGTTTTATGGATTATGTTTCGATTTGTTTTTCCACTGCACTTTTGATATCCTTATATGCAGCGACTGAGCGAATAATCGGCCGGCGCGATTTTTAATTTTTCGGGAGCATAAAAATAAATTAGTGCTCACAACCCCCCCCCCCCCTCCCCCACTAAGAGAAATATCGGCCGGCACGATTTTCAAATTTTAGTACACTAAATTTCAAATTGATTTTAAATTTGCCCCCCCCCCCCTAAGAAATCCTGGATCCGCGCCTGCCTATAAGTGACAGAAAATGACCAGAATATAGGTTTTATTCTCTGAAGGTTACCATCGATGATATTATAAATTACTTCGTTATTTTCCAAAATAAGATTTGACATTTGGTAAGATTTATTTACAGACCATATTAATAATTTTCATGATCATTTCTCCATGAATAATTTGTTCCAACCGCAAAGGTGTACCTTGATCTTGTCATCCTTCAATCACTCCATTTTTAAACAGGTGCCATCAAAAGCCATCAAACGCAACTTAATTAAAGTATGAATGATGAATTATGATGAAATCAAAAGTTCCGGTTTGGATTCAGCGACGCAAAGCTGCATTGGAAATTTAGTAAATGAAATAAGTTTGGATTGAAGACCATATCCGAACTGAAAAATAAAACGGACGAAATGTATGTCAACGGAAAGCTTATAAGCCATAGATTACCATAATATCAATTATATACCATTTTAGTGTCTGTCAGAGGAGCATCAGCTCTCTGATAACTCAAAATCCAAAGCTTTACAAATTGGAAGTTGTAGACCTAAAAACTTGCTATCGACTTGATGACATCATCTTATGTGGAGTACGCATATTCACAATGACTTTGCATTATTTAAGCACGGCTGATGGGATCCACAGGTTATGTCGTCACTGTAACTTTGGCAATTTGACCCCTGTTGACCCGTAGTTTGGAGGGTTGCGGAAAATGAGATTTTAATTTGCCTTTGTGCAATAATGAAATGGTAAATACTAATTGTTAGTTTTTTATATTTCTATTCTACATTCATTCAGGTTTCCATTTGTATCAAGTTGTATTTTCATCGGATAAGGTCTTTCAGCTGCTTTAAATTGTGCAAAGATATCTAAAACACTAGCTTACCTTTCAAGATAAAACTGAGTAGCAGAGGAAAAACGGCCAGTGGAAGAGAGAAGAGGGATGGGAAGAGAATGCTAAAGGGAACCGAGGAGAAAGGGGTGTGTAAAGAAAGAGTTTGTATGACAGAGAAACAGAGAAAGAGAAAGAGATAGAGAAAATGAGAAAGGGAGCGTGAGAGAGATAGGGGGATAGATAGATAGAGACAGAAAGAAAGACCTACAGAGGCAGTCAGACAGACAGTGGGAGGGAGTTGTATACGGCATAGTAGTGCGGTATGGTATGTAATCCCGTAGGATTTTTGTGCCAAAGTTGATTTTTTGTTGTTGCTGTTTTGGCTTCAAAAGGGTCCCAAATTAGCCAAAAATGATGGGGTGCAAATTTTCAGACCCCTTCTTCGTTACCTGGGGGTCTTAGACTGGGAGCCAGGGGGTCAACCTAGCTGGGAATGAAAATAATGTTTTTTGATAAAATTCAATTTTTCGAAAAAAATCACAAAAATCATGTTTTTTACTTAAATTTGCGATGTTAATTAATCCCAAATTCTTTGAAATTGGTATCAAAATGTAGATAATTTAACTCTCTTTCATATGACACCAAACTCATGGTGGTTCAAGGTTTTCTTAAAATATTATTAACATAATACTATTTTGTCGTGAAAAGGGACACTTTTTTGGTGGGGGCGTCCCCCTGGCCACACCCACCACCTAGAACATGCCAGACGGTCAATTTTTTATGTGGAGCTATGCGATCTTTACATCTGTGAACATGAAAATTGGTTTCCTTCCCAGCTAGGTTGACCCCCCCCCCCCTGGCTCCCGGTCTAGGACCCCCCAGGAAATGAAGGAGGGGTCTGAAAATTTGCACCCCATCATTTTTGGCCAATTGGGACCCTTTTGAAGCCAAAACAGCAAAAAAAAAAAAAAAAAAAATCAACTTTGGCACAAAAATCCTACGGGAGCTGTTTCAGAGACATACCGTACCACACTATAGGAAGAAATGAGTTAATGGAGGTTAGAAAGAGGTTAGTAGGGTAAAACAGAGAGAGAGAGAGAGAGAAAGAGAGAGAAAGAGAGAAAGAGAGAGATATAGGATGTGGGGCAGGGAAAATACCACCAAAATTGTTGAGTTATAAAGTTTTCCAGTTTTTTTTTCAACTCTATCAGTTCTGGGGCCAGAATTTACATTGCGGAAGTTGTACTTTATTATCATCATTATCATTATTATTTTCTTTGGTTAAAACGTTCATTTATCTCAGCCATTCACCTAGCCTGCATGACTACGTGCTAATTCACTAACCACGCGCTCTTTGACGAATGTAAACAAAAAAGGCGAAAGAAAATTATTGCTTTTAAGAAGGGTAGCTTGTCACTCTCCATTTGATTTATATCAGTCCATTGATTAAAGCTAAATAAGCTCTTAATATTTATAATCGGCCCACACCCACCTTTTCCACTGAATAGGTCAGATTTCATATACCTGGCCATAAAGTTTCCCTCCATAAAACCGGCTGAATTGGGATGTCATGAGATGTACTGAGATTGGAAATGTCATCTATAAATAAGACTCGCTGTACTGACGGGCTGCCGTTGCGAAACCCCGGCCCCCAACTCAGTGTTATTTAGGGTACGCATATGCGTGTTCCAACCGACCCCCCCCCCCTTTTCAGCAAAAGTCCGGTGTGTAAAGTTAATACGGCTCGACCTTTTTCTTTTGTTACGAAAAGGACATTTTGGCAACACGCATGGGGTCCGTCCGTTCTCGGAGTGGGGGGGGGGGGGGGGGGGGGGGTGCGAAACAAGATTACAGGGCAAAATAAACATGTGAGGCGTAATATCATTTTCCTAAGAGTATTATGGCGTGAGGGATTTGAATGATCTAACTGATCATACACATCGACCACTCATACACGAACTCAGGTAATTATAAAATAGAAAGAAAACAAATTACCTTCGGTGCTGACCGGTTTAATATCATTTTCAAATTTACGGATGTTTCTTTCCTTGGGACCTAGTGTCGAGTTATTGCTTTAACCTGTAATCAATGAATGAACTACAATACTTGGAATCCAGGCTGCCTACATTATGTGTTGTAATGTCGGGCAATATTGGGCAAGCTTTCAGGTTCTTATATACTCTGACTGTTGGTAATGACCTGACTGGAACGCGCTACTCCGGTTGAATTGAATTAAGAGGCCAGTTTACTCTTTCGTGTTAGGATAAATTTATTTGTGATTAGCATTTTCTCTCTCTCTCTCTCTCTCTCTCTCTCTCTCCCTCACTGTGTCTGTTAAGTCTGCAGATACAGACTCTAACTAGTATCGACACTTTACCACTCTCTCTCTCTCTTTAAGTCTCGATTCGTTCATTATTTATCCAGCCGTCCCTTCAACCTGCCCATCCATCTCAACCATCTCATCAATTCCCCTCATCGTCCTCCGTGTCGTCGTCCTCCTCGTATCCTCCTCCTTAGATAATATATAAATTCACCCACCTCTCTTGCTTCTACTATCTTTAATCAAGCCCTCTCTTCTATTTCTATCAGCATTATTTTGCGTTGAAATCGAAGGATTTGTCATTGTCAATCTGAATGCAGTTATTTGTCTTATTCTGCTCCCTTCTCTTAAAGGGATTGGGTATCTTTGTTTCAGATTCTGAAACAAAATCCTGGATTTAGCTGCATTGATAATTATAAACCTCTAGGCCTGTCAGGAACCCCCATGAAGTTTAAAAGCCGATCGCCTGTCTTGTTATCAAGATATTTTTGATTGGAAATCGAAATTTCAAAATTTCAAAATTCGTTAAATCCTAACGGTTTTATTACACTTCAG